CAAAGAGATAAGAGATTAAGTTGCCACTTCCTTGGATTTGTCCATACAGATAAACTTTTTAAGAAAATATTAAAAATCAATAGAGTCAATAAATATTTGATATTAATAATATGATTATAAAAAGATATATGTGCTAAAAAAGATACTATTGGAATAATAAAAAGGGTGAAAATAATATGTATGAGGTTATGAATTCTGACCTCAATGACTATTGTATTTTATATATAAATATTTTAATAATGTATATTTTAAAAGGTATTTAAAATAATAGGTGGTTGTATGTTAATATATATATATATCCCCTATAACCGTTTTATTTATTAGTTTTGCACTTAGTTGTACCTCCATTTATGGGCGGCATACATAGCAACTGAATGTAAAATATGAATTTTAGAGTGGTAGATGTTTAATCAATTAAAGTAACGTAGTTGAAAGTAAGTACTCGGTTGAGGGGACTAGCTGATTCGATCTTATCGCTTGTTGCTTGAAGTTTGCAGTATCAATAATTGAGCAAAATAATGTGTGACTGATAGTTTACTGCATTTGATACCATTACATTCGAGTGAAGCCATTGCTATCAATTTTGATGTGATTGTGCTATCATTTTAAACGCATGAGAACAGTGATATATAGGATTAGTGGTACAACAATTCTATATAAACATGGTGCTAGTCTGTGAGATTTTCTTTTTACCTTTTTTTTCTCTAAAGAATTTGTGTTGTGTGATGATCGGTACAATATATTTAGTTCATCAACACATAAATAATGTGTTTTGATTGATAAACTATTCTTCAACAATAATTTATTTGCCAATACTCGACCTTAAAATCCGAGACTGTATAATAAATTGTAAGGAGACGACCATACGTACTAAGCACGGGTTGTGTAACTTTCAATGTATAATGTATTAAATTCAGAACTATATATTCTTATTACGAGAAATTAGTAGGAGAAAAGGTATTACGTGCGTTCGTGAAAAATTGAGAAAATGGTAGTTTTTTATAGCAATTTTTTTACTGTTTTAATAGTTTTAATAATTTTTGACATTTTTCTAACAATTATTAAGAGCAAAATATGTATAGAAATTGTGCACACCAAATGAAGTAATATCCTCTATTATTAGTATAGATAAAAAATACAAATAAAATTTATTTTTATCAAATTTCAATGAACTAAATTAAATAAAATATACCATTACTAACTTTTAATTTCAATCATATTTATATATAGTTATTGCATGATTCATATTTATTATTATTTCGATAAGAAGAAATCACTAGAAGATGATCTCATTATGACTGGAACATTCAAAAAATGAGTTATCTCTCTTTATGTGACTTTAACTTGAAATTATCTTTGAGCTAGTCAATAGTTATTTAAATTAGGAGGTCTTTCATGGGCTGAAGCCCAAAAGGTCATTAAAAAATGATTTAGTTCAAAATTAAAATGATACACATTTTTCTAACTTTGAGTCAAAAAGACTAATGAGAGTTAAAAAAGATGAATTTTTCACTAAAATAGAATTTTTTTTTAAAAAATTTATCAAAAAAGCACATGTATCAATTTATTTATCCAAGTAGCAGTTTTCACTGTTGTTTAATTATTATATTTTTTTTTTTTGCGTTTTGGATCTAAGTATGGTGTAAAACTGGATCCAGAACGGTCTGTTCTCCTTTTAGAACGGGTCGTTCTCCTTGCAGAAAGAACGGGCCGTTCCGGATGCAAAAATACACACATGACGAATGGATCAAAACAAGCTATTCTGCTTGGAAGTTCCAATTTCAAAATTAACAGACTACGCGTGCAAGCAGAACGACCTGTTCTGCTTGGAGAACGGGCCATTCCAGTTACAACATTAACACACAACCTGGACTACAAACAGAAAAGAAAAAAAAAATTTAAACACTGCTCAGAATTCGGTTCTGAGAAAAAAAAACAAAAAAAAACAAATTAAAGTTCAGAATTTGATTTTTCGGGAACCGAATTCTAAGTGTGAATAGTAAAAGATGTTACTTCTGTAAATAAATTAGAAAATGTGCTGTTTTGGTAAAAAAAAAATTTAAAAAAATTATTTCAGTAAAAAATTCTAAAAAAGATATTATAAGTGACATATGACTTAACTTAGAATTGAAAAGGAACAATTAAAATAAAAAAATTTCTCAATTTACATGCATGTGAAACTTATTAAATGAAAAATCTTGATATAAAAAAACTATAATACAAACCATAAACTTTTTTATGCTACTTTAAATAATACAAATTTAGTGGTTCTATTTTTTGACGGTAGTTTAATCACACATAAATAGTTAGGTAGAATTTTCTTATTTAGAAACACTCTAAACACTTATATTAAATAGTAACCTTAGCATCACAAGTAAAAAAATGATATTTTAAAATAGGATTTTACTTTAATTATATGCGAATCAATGTAAAATAATACATGATGGTAATTTTGAAATTTATATAAGCTTTGTTACATCAGTTATAATTGAACCGATATAACTGAGGACCTTTTATATCAATTATAAGTTTAACTTGACATACAAGTATGTTTAACAATCTATTTTCTAATAATTTAATACCATGATAGAAGTACAATGTTAAGTTTTATAAAAATCGAGTATAACTAGTTTATACATATAAACATATATATTGTTAAGGTATAACATGACATTCATAGTAATAACCTATTTAAAAATAAATTTTATAACAAGATCTCCAAATAAAACAAATTTATCTTTTAATAAATTTATAAGTCAATAATTTAATATTTAGAAAGAAAAATAAAACGACATATAATTCTAATATATTATAACACATTTGATAAAAAAATAATAATAATAATTTACTTTTATTTTAAAAATTAATTTGTTAGTTTTAACATACTTTTTAAAGAACATAAAGTTTGACCATATATCATGACAACTTTAATTAAAATATTGATCTGTTATTTTCTGAAAAGTCTAACCTAACTTGATGTATATTAGGTCATATACTTCTGTCAAGTAAATTAATCTATTTCTATCTTTTATTGATCAAGTCACTCCACTCCCATTTTAACCAGATTGATAATGGGTTGGGACTTTATTGTCCTTAGGTAAAATTTTCTATTTTATTTTTATTTCATTTTATTTTATTTTTACATGTTAACACAAAATGCATTTTACTATAATTTTACAATTAATGATTCATTTGGTTCAAAAGACGGGAGAAAATGAGAGGAAAAGAGATATAAATTTTGCTTAGTTGAGAAACATAAAGATCACAGTTTTTTTTTGTTGTTTACTTCACAAGGATAGGAGAGAAATTCTAAAAATTAATTTACTTTTGTAGCTGTATAATTTTAAATTAATAATATAAATAAAGATATTTTAGATATCATAAACTAAAATTGAATTAAAAAGGATTTTACTCTCGTCCCTCCATTCCCCCTTCAATCAAATACCAGGTAAGTGATTCCTAACCATACGTTTTCAAATTGATGAATATGTATTTTTTTTTGTTCGTTCCTGGAGTAGCTGGTCCCAAAATTTAACGTGACTACATATATAAGGCAGGATTCGAACCCCTGACCTTGGTTAAGCGTAGACCAACTCCTACCACTGAACTAATGAATATGTATAATGAATATGTATAATGGTAGCTATTAACCAACAATTTGGAAGATTGTAGCTAATTTCTTTCTTTCTAATTCTCCCATCCATCATCACCTTCGTACTAACCTTTGTGGACTCATCCATAGACCCTAAAAGCTGCCAATAAAATTGAATAAGAGGGACAAAACAAGAGGAAAAAATTAAAGGATGATTAATTTGATTTTGTTAAGCACCAGAAATGAAACATTCGACCTAAATCTTTACATATTTTCAAAAGTAGAACCCCATAAAGTACCATAAGAAATTTAATTACATGCTTTGTGATGTTTTTTTTTTTGAGTTACTAATTATTTTAATCACATTGATATATTGGGCCAGTGCATTGGGTCAACAAGTCAGACTAGGCCCAAATTCTCCAATTCAAAATAAATTTTAATAAGTATTTGAATAATCGATCATATTTTTTTAAAATTTATGCAATTTTCTAAATATTTATTATTTTTCATGGAGATATATAGATCTCGGTTTTCTTGACATGTCATCATGGAGCTGCATGATTTTGGATTGCTTAATGGTCTTCGCAATATTGGACCATTGCTAAGAAGACACCAACATATATGAGGTTGCAAAATAAATCAAATTTTTTAATTATGATTTTTTTTTTAAAAATTTCACCTAAAAACTTTAGGATGGTACAAGTGATTATTTCAGCTATTTAATTTTTTCATGAAAATATTTATGTCATTTTTTATTAATTAATATATCAGTGATAATTTTTAATATAATAATTTATTCAGGCTATCTCAAAATTTTTAGAAATGTTTAAAGGGGAAAATAAAATAAAATAAAATAAAGCGTGATGAGATATATATGAAAGAGAGAAAATCACAGCAGTGAAGAAAAGCGAGTCTCTTCCTTTTTCTCTTTTGTCCTTTACACTACAAGGTCACCCAATATTAATCCATCACTTTCCATATTTCTGACTTAAATTCTTGAAGAAATCATATACTCTTGTTTAATAGTTATGTGATGCGATCCATCCTTCAATTCGTGGAAAGACGTGTCATCATGGAAAAAAAATGATGAAAAACTTTGATTACTAAATTCAAGCTAGAATTAATATCAATCAACAATAATTAAAAGACGTGTTCGTCGAAAAATGATGGAAAGCTTTGATTACTGAATATTCAAGCTAGAATTAATACACGTTATACGTAGCTGGAGATCAACTAGATGAAGATCTAAAGTTGGAGTTCCGTACTAACAATTTCTAATATATATTAAAATAAATCATAAAAGAAATAAACATATTCAATCTACAAACAACTATTACATGCGGTTGATTCATTTTTCTCCCAAAGTCCAAAATTTGCTCCAAGTAACCCAATATATGGTGAGCCGGGGGAAAACCAATTTGGATAATATAATTAAACCACATAGCTAATAATATATATATAGCATCAGCATGAGCATCCCCTATACTTGTGAAAAAGAAGCCAAATAGTTACAAGTCGCACGACACCACTTCAAACCAAACTACTTTTTATTTTATTTTATTTTATTTTTAAACTCTACGTACTTTGTAATTTGTAGAAAATATTGTATGGTAAAGGATGATTACATGTTCACATTGCCAGCGAAATTATACACGATAAGATGGAGCCTTCATCTAGTAACCAATGGAAACCAGCGTTGGTGGAAAGAGGATTGGTATGCCATCATGAACAAGACGAAGAGAAGCAAGAGAGCGACTCCCCATGGAGAGCCCCCAGCTCTGTGCAGCGACTCCCTCTCCTCCGGCAAGGGTATGGGGAACGACGCCGGACTGGAGAGGCAGTGCACGACCAGCAGCAACAGCAGCGGAACTAGGGCAAGCAAGATCTTCACCTGCACCAGCAAGTCCTCCAACACAGACTCGTAGTTTATGTACCACGAAAATGCCAGCACCAACAACAGGATGAACACGAAGAACACCAGGTGGAGTGGGAAAGAGAAATATTCCCACAAGTAGTAGTAGTGATCACGGTACCTCGCCATGTTAAGAATTAATGAATAATGAGATCTTCTTGTGAAGAAGGAATGTAAGTGTTTGTGTGTGTGGATCCTTCTAGTTATTGGGGCTTTGATTTGAAGAGACTGCTGGGTCAAAAAGGTTTATATAAGGAGTTGGACGCGGGACATTCATTATTGTTTCTTTGCACTAAAATTATAAGAGATTATTGCTCACTTTTATTTTTATCTTGTAATTATTTTTTGAAAATATTGTACGACTTTTCTTTGAATGTAAACTGCCCCGTCAAGGAAGAGAATAACAGGAGAAAATGGGTATGGTACGAAGAACTAAGATAAGAAAAAGACAAAAGAGATGTGATGACTAATGACTAATACATATAATAAGAAAAAAAAGTGTCTTTGATTCGACACGAAGCATCTTTTAAATATGTTATCAAGATGGAGTATTATGAATGAAAAAATATAACTAAAGAAATTTCATTAAATTAAGTAACCAATAACCAAGGTCTCCATTAAAAATTAGTTATTAATATCGATGTTATACACTTATAGCGTAATGGACCAAAAGGTAAAAATAGTTAGAAATTTTATGTTAAAGTTTGGGTTATCTTAAATGATTTTTTATGTTTATAAAATAAACAAGTGTTAAAAAGTAATAGAATACAAAATGATACATAGGAAATGGGTATGCGAAAATAAAAATTGAATCATAATTTTTTTTATGTTGCATAATGTGATTAATTTTTAAATTTGTCTAATAAATATAAATATAAGTAACAATCTTTTGTTCTCAAAATTGAAAAAGTCACAATCTCACTCGTTAAGTTTATAATGTAGTCATTACTTTTCTAGTTTGCTACCAAGGAAAACACTTAGTTACCTTGGCATGGGCATCGAATAGAAGCAAAAAGGTAAAAAGAAAAGGGGAAGGAAAAAAAAGTTTATATATGTTTTAGATTGTGCACATATATGTAAATTTGTTTTTTATTTTATTAATTTTGGTTCTTATATATTTTATAATTAACATATGTACATTTAAATTTATATTTGGATGAATATGATTTTAGATTCAAATTCTGGTATTATGATTATAAACAAAATTAAATGACTTAATTAAAACATATAAAACATATTATATAAGAAAGTGGAATAGCAGTCAATTTTGGCATGGCTTCTACTACTGCTTTGAGAGAAAGTAGAGATATATATTCTACTTTTTTTATTCTGGTGAGTGAGTACCGAGGCATCGAGATTATCCCAGGGACGGTGACGCGAGAATAATTCATGGTTGAGATTCAAAATGGTGTCATCCAATAGGTGAGTGGCAGATGCTATCAGAACGTGTGAACAAGAGAAAATGAAGGAAGCAAAACTAGAATTTAGAAGGCATGAACTGTAGTTTGTGATAAATCGGAGGCAAAGTGGGGTCATATCATGGGGAAAGCTGCGTCTTGCTTATTGCATGGCTGGCCCATATTTCCATTTTCAAGCTTTATTCCTAGGGTTTGTCAAGCCATGTCAGATCACCATATCTTATCTCATTAAATTAGGTGGATTCATATTCCTATAAAAGTAAATAAATCTTAGTGGTACACTTGTACGTTGAGTATATACTACACTCAATGAGATGAAAAAAAGAGAGTAAATTTTTTAGGAAAACAATGTAAAATAGAGCATATAAAATATCATATTTCTTGATTGTTTAATCCGTATCACCCACGATCGATGCATTGTTTCTCCGTTCCTTTACTGCTTACTTTCTTTTACTCTTGAAATATTCTCTTACCAATAATAATGCAGCACATAGAATCTACCACCATTATGTTTTGGTACGTTGGACCACTGCAGTTTAAATCAAAGCATCATAATAAAGGCTATATGATAAAAAAATCTAGTTGCTCGGAACAAACCTGGTCGCTGGCTCTCGTTTGCATTCATTTCACTGAAAATGGCTATACGAATAAAACGGTACAATACCAACTTAAAAATAATATATATATATATATATATATATATATAGTTTATTAAATTTAGATTAAATTTATTTTTGTTTCCTTAAATTTAAAATAGATTTTTTAGTTTCTCTAATTTGAAAACATCTTATTTTAGTCTTTATGGTCAAATTTAGTTAGTAAATTTGTGAAATACTATCACACAAATTTCACATATACTAATATTTTTATTAATAAAAATATCACATAAAACTCAGTTAATAGTTGACCCTACATAATTGTCTTAAATTTTCAATATCATATATGTTATTTGTGACTCATGGAATTAAAAAAATATTACAATAATTTAAAAGATCAATTTTAAATTAGAGAAATAAAAAATAAATTTATTGTAAATTTGAAAAACTGAAAAACAATTTGAGTCAAAAAGATTTTATTAAGGGAGGTAAAATTTACTTAGGAGATCTATAGATTATTCGTCATAGAAATGTACTTCATATTTAAGCCAAAAAAAAAAGATTATACGAAAATGCAAGTCTAACAGTTTAATTTAATTTATTTTTTTTACGGTGTTTTAGGGTTGTGATGGTTCAATTCTACTGGACCCTTCACCCACCATTGACAGCGAAAAGAATTCAAGAGCTAATTTCCAATCAGCTAGAGGGTTTGAAGTGGTGGATGAGATAAAGGGGGCAGTGGATGAAGCATGTGGAAAACCAGTTGTTTCTTGCGCTGATATATTGGCTGTAGCAGCTCGTGACTCTGTCGTTGCGGTGAGTTTGAATACTATAATACTACTATTAATTACTAATTATAACTCCAAATGTTATGCGTTAAATGTTTACTGATCATATATGTAATATTTTTACAAGGCT